CTTAGTACTTGTCCTCTCATGTCCGTGTTCTTCGTCCTGAACTTAATCTCAAAGAGTGATTTGCTTTTGTGGTGTTATGAATGAACTCGATGATATCTTTGCTTCTGGTACAAGTGAATGTTTCTTCTTTAAGCTATTGTTGGTGGTGATTAGATAGCGGTAATGACTATGATGATTAAATAGTGGTAATGATGACTATGATGATTTTTAGTTAGCTAGTATATTGTTGTTGGTGATGATATCATGCAAGAGTTTTTTTATATTAATATGATGATGATGATGATGAGTAGTTATTATATCATTTATGAAAGATACCGCAAAATAGTTTCGGCTGGATGGATCCTATAGCTATAAGTGATCAAGTATATGCCATATCCATATTATACACTTAGGTGATCAAGTATAATATGGATATGACATATATTTGATCACTTAGCTAAGATCCACACGCATCCAGTCGAAACTAATCTGCGGTACTTTCACCTAATGATTTAACAACTCATTATAATGTAAAACAATCACTAAATTAAATTGAAAACACAAAATTAAAGGAAGATAAAAAATAAAACCAAAACACCCCCAAACATTTAGTACCGGTTGGTGTTACCAACCGGTACTAATGTCCTACACGCACCTGGGCCTGGCTCGTGCCACGTGGTGGCATGTTAGCGCCGGTTTGGGCCGAACCGGTACTAAAGGGGGGGGGACCTTTAGTCTCCACTCTTTAGTGCCGGTTGCGGAACCGGCACTAAAGCCCTTTACGAATCGGGACTAAAGCCCGGTTCTGCACTAGTGTATGAAGGAGCAAGTGATATCACCTAGCAAAATTCATGTACAAGGTATTTGGTGAGACTGTTAACTCATCCGTTTATTCTATTGTATAAGCAGTGATCAGTTCATTGATTCAGCAACTGTTTGTGATGTTAGTTACTTCCGGGTCAGTAATAGAAGTAGCATGGCGGCATGCATGAGGTGTAAAAGTTTCTTTGACGGCGCACGAGACTTGTGAACCAAATTATAGTATGAATCACGCAAGGAACAACTCAGCTTACAAATTCACACCAACCTCAACAATGGCATTCACCAAAAGAAAGTAAAACACTCTTTTCTCGAGAGGAAATGAGAGTTTTCATTCAATCATAGAAAACTGGTTTACATTGTCATTTTTAGTCACAGGATCAATAAACTTGGGTGTAGGCACAACCAAGATTCATTTATCCCTTAAGTTGTAGCCCAAGGCCAAGCAGCCAACACATCTGCTTCCCTGTTGCTCTCTCTCTCAACTACTATTCCGTCTCATAATGTAAGACATTTTTGACACTAGTGTAGTGTCAAATAAACGTCTTACATTATAGGACGGAGGGAGTATCTGAAAACAGATTCAAAGAACTGACATTCACTTCTTTTTTGAATTTTGAATTCAGTAACACATGTTACTACAATTCTGAAGCTTGATTGGCACGTTCAGAAGGATCATTGCTACTGCAATAAGCCAGAGTCATCTAAAAGAACTAGTGTGGTCACCACAATTGGCGGCAGTGGTCATCGGGATGTAGTGGACTCGTGGTCGCCGTTGCAGTCGAAATGAAGTGGTCGCCTACCGCTATCTCCATCAGGTCATCACCGTCGGGATGCAGCCGCCGCAGGCCACCGACGTGGCAGCCATCGACATGGATCTCCGTCCGAGGGTGTTGACCTGACAGCCACCTACACGGCCTTTCCCTGGGACTCGTCACAGGTTGTCTTGCCCCGTCGTGGCAATCGTCCCCCTAGATGCGTATTTCGGCGTGGCGCCGTAGTCGTGGCGGCCGCTAGTAAGCGGGATTGGAAGGACCAAGCGATTTGGGGAGCTCTAGGAATTGGTGCACCTGCCTTGGCTTGGTGGAGGGGGTGTTTAGAAAATTGATGCAGCTAGCAAGGGAGTAGGCGGGCGGTTTTCTGCAAAATTAGCGTGGACGCACAACAAGCACCAGATTTTGATCGGACGGATGATGATGATGGGATGTAGGGATGCACAAACATAAGTGGATTAATAGGACATGACACCTTTTTTTATACACATTTAACATTTTTTAAATACTTGTTCAACATTTTTTCAAATGCTTGATTAACATTTTTAGATACATGATCAAAAAAATGTCATCATTTTTTAATACATAGTCAACATTTTTTCTACACACATTTAACATTTTTCAAATGCTTGTTCAACACTTTTTCAAATACTTGATTAACATATTTATATACATGGTCAATAAAAATTCATTATTTTCTAATACATGGCCAACATTTTTTCGATACACATTTAAATTTTTTCAAATGCTTCCTTAACATTTGTCAAACAATTTTTCAGAATTTTTTCAAATGCTTGATTAATGTTTTTAAATACATGATCAAATTATTTCATACACATTTTTGGTGCACATGATAAACATTTTCTCCATACACATTCAACATTTTTCAAATGCTTGGTCAACATTTTTCAAATGTTTTATGTAGATTAACTTTTGTAATATATCTATTTAGAATATTTTGAAGTACAAATAAAAGTAAAAAAAGGAATAAAGAAACGAAACAAAAAAGGTGAAAATAAAACAAAGCAGAAAACGAGGTTACTTTTTCCCTCGCGCCTGGCCGGCCCAACTCGGGGCACCCAACAACCTTCAGCTCCGCAGCCACAGCAACTCCCTTCTCTCTCTCTCAAAAAAAAAAAAAGCCACACCAACTCCCTCGCACGAGCAGAACACTCTTTGCCCTCGCACAGCAACTCCCGACCCCGAAACCCAGCCGGCCAGCCTCCTCGCCGTCGCGGCGTCGCCGGTCGCCGGCCGGAGCCCGGAGCCCGGAGCCCAGTTGCCCAGGAGGCTCCCTCCAACCCTTCCCGGCTTCCCGCCCGGCCAACCTCCCGGTCCAGCCGCGCCCCTGCCCTGCGCGCGGCTGCGCCCCTGCGGTGCGCTCCCGCGGTCCCGGCGTCCCGCCTCCCCTTCCCGGCTTCCCGCCGTCCCGGTCACCCCCCTGCAAAGCCCCACCACGGGGGCAACAAGTTACAAGCGAGCAAACTGATCAATTTAAGGTACCCAAATGCCTGACTTAGGGTTTGGTTTTTTGCCCCAATTTCCTGTACATGAACACGTACTGCACAAGTCATATTGCTATCAATTTTTGAGATAGTGGGGACTCACTGACATATATGTAAGATTATAATATGTGCAACAAAGAAACATGTCATTGTCAACCTCAAGCTATAAAAGAATTTATCAGCGCTATAAAGTCATTGTCAGCCTCAAATGAATTTGCAAAATTAAACATCACCATCCTTTGGCCTATAATTTATACAATGTCTCTAGTCCAGAATAAAGATAATTTTTTCTCGACCATGAAAGGAATAGAACCACATGCACAAACAAGAAATATTAAAGGTTTAGCAGATTCTTTTAGTACTGTAACCTTTTACCAAATGCAAATGCATGCTGAATTTAATCTCCCTACTCCATGCATGTCCTGGGTAGAGAGCTGTTACCCATACCAAGACAATAAAAAAAAATGAACAGTATTTTCTATTTTGTGCATGGGGACAGCATTCGAGATGTCCAATGCAACATCACTATTTTATTGCCTATATGGTGTGAGCATCAAGTAGGGTTATTTGGCAATGGAGGGGCTCATAACCATCACTAAACTACTTGTGCCATGCATGACTGCTCCCGGCCTCCCGCCATCTCCCCAAACAGTTCGCGCCATGCATTGTTTAATACACTGTGCACAGATCCCCATGAGTGATATCCAGAGATCAATGGTGTTGAGCGTAGGTTTGGGTGAACCATGGTCCCGTTCAACATTTTCATAGACTTAAATTCAGTTATCTACATTTTGGTTCAGATGTGGCGAGCCGCTGTTCTGCTATGCTTCATTCTTCAAGGTGCCACTGTTGCGGCTGATAACGAGACATGGGGCTACGTTGAAATTCGTCACAGTAAGTATCCACTAATAATAGCAATCTTTACATCATGTTGGGTCCTCTCATCCTTTCGTTTTGCCATTTACTACTATGACCAAATTTTTATTCCATTTGTCTGTTTTTGTGCATGAGTTTAACCGTAAGTTTTTGTTGCAGAGGCGCACCTATTTTGGTGGTACTACAAGAGCCCACATCGGGTGTCTTCGCCAGTAAAGCCATGGCCAACCATCCTCTGGTTGGAGGGCGGTCCGGTATGTAACTGGTCTCCTCTCACTGCCATTTTTTTCCTTGGTTGAATACAAAGCATTAGTTGACCGTCGTCGTGTTCTTTCAGGGAGGGTCAGGCGTCGGGGGTGGCAACTTCCAGGGGATCGGGCCACTGGATGTCAATCTGAAGCCACGCAACTCGACGTGGCTGCAGAAGGCTGATCTCATCTTCGTGGTAAAAGAGTTGTTCTAATTGCACGTACTATTTAAGGACATTGGCAGTTTAAGTAATGAGTATGTTGGTTTGCAGGACTTACCAGTGGGTGTCGGGTATAGCTACGTGGAGGACCCAACCGTGCTAGCTACGACGGACGTGCAAGTCGCTGCTGATGCCATCGAGCTCCTCAAGGCACTTACCAAGGAGATACCCACCTTGTGCAGCAGCCCGCTGTTCCTTGTCGGTGAGTCCTATGGTGGCAAGCTTGAGCCAAGATTGGAATCTCTGTGGCAAAGGCCATCCACGCCGGGGCCCTCAAGCTCACACTAGGGGGTGTGGTGCTTGGGGATAGCTGGATCTCACCAGATGATTTTGCGGTAATTAAATCATTTTAATCTGTTTGAGTCTCTCAATGACCAAAGCAGTTCCATTTTTTACGCAAAAAAGCTTGGTTTTCCCAACCAATGCTTTGATCCTTTCAGCTGTCATATGCGCAACTGTTGCGTGATGTGTCGAGGCTGAGCGATGAAGCTGTTGCCCCTCTCAACAGGTAAAAATCTGCAACATGTTATTTGCCTCGATCTCCAATGGCATGCCCTGATTTGATATGTTGTTTGCAGAATGGCGGCAATAGTAAAAGAGCAGATAGCAGCTGGGCAATTCACCACGGCAAAGATGACGTGGACGAATCTTGTTGATTTGATTGACCAGCAGAGTGATGGCGTGGTAAGTGCATAGTAATCAGTAACATAGGGTTTGTTTGGTTTGAATCTAGAGTTGCCCCATAAAATATTTGGCTAGCCAAAATATTGGTCAAGGTTTTGTGTGCCTATGAGTTGGCCAACTTTGACTAAAAAATGAAGTAGAGTTGGTAAGGAGCCATTGGCATGCCAAACAGTTGCAACCAACCAAACGAAAACCAAAGTTGTGGTCATAACCAAAAATTTGGTAAGGTACATATTGGCTACAAAGCATGCCAAAACAGTACACAAGGTTCTCATTCCACCGTTTATTGCCCGCCAATAGAAGATCAGACACTTCGCCAATGTTAGTTTTCTTTTGCCTTCCCAAAGGGTGCCTGCAACTATTCTGAGGTAACCAATCATCTTGCTAGATATCGACTTTTTCTCCATTGACAATTCTTCAGATGATTCCCTGTTTAAGCAACTTCCTTCCAGGTAAAATACTGTGCCATGTCAGGGAAGCACCACGAGGGGAACTATAAGCATTCAGAAAATCAGTGTGCCTAAAATAGCAGGCTCTTAAAACTTGCAGAGAGTGACCCAGGACAACCTAGGATCCGCCAACCTCGCCGAGCCAAAAATGTTTGGTTGAAAGCCTCCATATCCCTGAAGCCTACACCTCCCCATTTCTTTGGCACAAAGAACTTCTCCTAGCTGGCCCAATGCACCTTGCGCTGTCCATTGCATAAGTCCCACCAGAATTTTTCCATAACATAAATACAGAAGTAAGCTGCTTGAGGAACTTAGTAAAAGAAACACAGCTCATGGTGTAGGCCAGAACGGCTTGTATTACAGATTTTACTAGGATCTCCTTTCCTTCCTTTGATAGCCTCTGACCCTTCCACCCTTGTATATCCCCCCAATCTCTTTCAGCAATATGCTTGAAAGCAATATCCTTGGACCTACCCACCATTGTTGGGAGGCCCAGATATCCTTTATTCACTGCTTCTATCAATACTGATAACAACTTTCAGATCCTCGTTGGAGTCTTCTTGCACCCCAGGCCTTGCAAGTTGACCTTTTGACCTGAGCTCATTTCATATCTGGTAAAACAGAGCCAGGAGATCATCTGGACCAGTAGACACAACTATGGATAGCATGTTGATGGCATGTTTGGTAGACATTTATTAGACTGTTCTCACAACAAAATATTAATACCATTCAGCTCAAATTGATAAAACATGCATGACTTTCTGCAGGATATGCTAAATTTCTTGCTTGACAAAGGCGAAGGCTCATCGACGAGCCAGGTGTTTCCGTCGACCCCCAACACCATTGACGGTCTCATGAATGGGGTCATTAAAGAAAAGTTGAAGGTTATTCCTAAGAACATAATGTGAGCATACTTTTCTTCTATATATTTTTTCTTTTCCGCCCAAAATATCATCTTACTCAAATTACCGTAATCTGATATCTGATTAAACTGCAGTTGGCAAGGAGTGGCTATTCAAGTTTTCGAAGCAATGAATGCTACCTACATGAAGCCAGCAATCAATGAGGTAAACAAAGCTCTAATGGATCTAATTTGTTGGCTGATGAAATTTTGTGGCGTTTGAGATGTTATGCATGTTTACTTGGTTAGGTTGATCAATTGCTAGCATATGGAGTAAATGTGTCGGTTTACAATGGGCAATTCGATGTGATATGCTCGACAATCGGTGTAGAAGCTTGGGTCAAAAAACTCAAGTAAGGTTCCTATGTTTACCTTCCTCCCTGATGTTACTTTGATGTTTTCATTCCACCATTGCCAATGTAGCATACATACCGTGGGCTTCAAGGCAGAGTTACAGGGGCACGACAAGCTGTGCAGAGAGGGTAGTCGCGCCAAGACATAGCGGACACCTTGTCGAGCGGGTCCTTAAATCTTACAGTCATAAGTTCAAAATCTTCACAAATATTAGAAATAGTAGTCACGGCAGTGTGATCCTCATGGAGAACCACGACAGCATTCCGGGAGTCCCAAATCTAACAAAGAATGGACAAGAGAACCCCAGGCCACACATCGCCATCAGGAGTCACAGGGGTAGCCATGGACCAAAGATCTTGGAAGCTTGGAGGGGTAAATGCCGAGGGTGTTCCGAACTAGGGTGGCCTTCGGGCAGTGGAGGAACAAATGGTTTGTGGCTTTAGATACACAGGAGCACAAACCATTTCCAGCTGGAAACCCAAGGAAGGGGGGTGGGGGAGGCTAAACATTGCAAAACAAATTTCATAAGCAAGTAATTATTCTGGGTTTGAAGATCTTTGATGCCTAGACCACTGTATTTTTTTGGTTTGCAAACATCCCGCTACACTATAAGACATTTCGCCCCCGTACAGGTCTCCTCCATGGTCCAGAAGAAAGCACGTCGGATTGCGTCGAGCGCCTCAAAACTTTTTTGGGGAGTTGGAAAACTGACATGAAGTAGGTGGCGAGGGAGTCGAAAACGAAGGAGGTGAGGGTTAGCCTAGCTGGCGGTGCAGAAGAGGAGCTTAGCCCTCCACCCTGTTTGATATTTGAAGCTGTTAAAGAGAGAGGGAGTGTGTAGGCAGAGAGAGGGAGGGAGGTACGTTTGTGGGAAGGAGGACACAGACCAGCGCTTCCACATAATGGCGTCATCCACGAGTCACACTCAGTAGTGAATGATGGACACTGTAACAGCACAAAGACGGGTCGATTAGTACCATAATCCATGTACGTAATATCTTAATTCAAAATCGTAGTGCACACTTGTAGCATCGAAATACTCGCATATAGAGGTGCTTGTTTTCTAACCTTTTAACATGATCATGTTTTTCAGATGGGCTGGTCTGAAGAGTTTCTTGAGCACGCCAAGGCAGGCTTTGCGATACTGTGATTCTCCAGCGCGCTGCCTCAACCCCGTGAAGGCATACGCTAGATCATACCAGAACCTGAACTTCTACTGGATCCTCGGAGCTGGACACAAGGTACGTGCCAACGTATACAACATTTCACTATTTGAAAGGTTGGTACATCTTATGTGCAAACTGAAGCGTAAGCTTGCGTCAATGCAAATCTTCTATACAGGTGCCTGTCGACAAGCCCGACGTTCAGTCACCTGACAGCTAGGAAGATATCCTCTGTATGTGGTATGTGCAGGTGAATTAGAGCAAGTCGCACTGTCAGCACAACTTGAGCAGTGAGAACTACCAGGTCATCGAACTTAATTGTTAGTCTAACTATTATCTAGCACATTCCCTAAACCCTGTATAGTGTGGGATGGGGCTAACCAGAGCCTGAAATGTGACTCTCGTAAGAGTGCCTCCCTTCAACGTATGCTTGCTGTGACAAGGTTATTTGGCCCTCCTAGCGTGAGGAGACCTCCTTGCTTTGCTGCTGTTGTGTCGATCCATTTGATTGGTTGCATGTTGGGTAAAGGAAGATCGAATGCCTGTGTGTTTATATGGTTTCTGAACCAAGAAGTAGATGGCTTGTTGTATCAGCCTTCTTTTCGTTGTTGTTGAGGCGAGTCACGTGTCTTGTGTTATAAGGCCCTATTTGGATTATCGTTTTCCTCTTAATTACCCCCGTAAAAAATACTCCCTCAGTTTCTAAATACAAGCCCTTTTAGAGATTTCAATACGGACTACATACATCTGTATGTAGACATATTTAAGAGTGTAGATTCACTTATTTTGCCATATGTAGTGCATATTGGAATCTCTAAAAGGTCTAGTATATAGGAATGGAGGGAGTACACGTCTCAGCCCATCGTTTTGTTTCCGGCTGGAAATTACTTAGTTGGCTGGTAAGATCGTAGTTCAAAAAAGTGCTAGACGTTAATTGTGTGTTTTGCCACCGCTTTGTGCTTTTTTGATCAAAGCGTATGCTTATGCGCAGTTATGCGCTAGGCATTTTGCTATCACCTAAAGCCTGGGCGCACTTAAGTGCTTGCTTAGGCGCGTCTTTTTAACTATAAAGTAAGATACACCTTTTCGCTAAGTTAAACACCTCCGTATTAAATTACACAGATCCTAAGCGCGCCCTAACTTGAGTTTTGAAGCAGCTGATCGCTAGTGTGCTCATCATGGCTGCATTTTCTGTAATTGGCGATGCTTAGCTATTCGAATTTATTTGCAGTAAAAAAAAAACAATTGGCAGTTTGCTTTGGTCAGAGAACATCTTCTGGACCATCCATATGTTGCATGTGTATGAAAAGCTGCTTCTTTTTTCTTTAACCAGGAATATTTACCTCTATTTACAAGGAAAGTGTTTCGCTTTTAGACTTTATAGTACAGTAATAGACTGATGTTTAACATAGTTCAGTTCAAACGATGAGGATGTTTCATTTATATGCAGACATATTTCAGCTCTATTGAGCTTGTATGCTTGCATGTAACGAGCTTTTGCTTGATGTACACTACTTGGATCCGAATGATCCCCATGTCAAAGGGTTTAAACGAATGAACCAAAATGGCAGGCATCGGAAGGGAATTAAAGGGATTAGAAGGGAAGGGGAGTGGATGGGCATCTAGCCCAGTGAGAAGACCGCGGCCTTTGGTAGAGCCAAGTTCGAATCATGTGGGTGGAATTTATTTTGCAGATTTAAAACTTTATGTCCCACATCTTCCTTCTTAATTAAAACTAGCGGATTAAAAACTTGATGTCCCACATCTTTCTTCTTAATTAAAACTAGCTATGGTAGGACGTGGGACATCACTTCCTAGGAGTTAAGTTTGAAACTAGCTACCTCCGTCTAGGTGAATAAGTCATTCGCGTAGTTCTAGGTCATCGATTTGAGAAATTAAATATGTGTTATATGTCATGAAAAATATATCACTAGATTTCTACACGAATGTAGTTTCTAAATATATATTTTTTGTCACATATAATACATATTTAGATAGTTAAATCTTCGACCTAGAACTACGCAAATGACTTATTCACTGAGACGGAGGTTTTACGGTAGGACGTGGGTCACACAGCTTACTATATCTGGGAACTCTTTTTTACCAAGCTATAAGTAATCACTGTTGCTGCTACACACGCATAGCAACCTTTGATCAAGCAATATGGTAGGATCGACGTGACTAGTAAAACCGCGACATGGCTTATTAGGAGTTAAGTTTGAAATGTATGATTAAGGAATGTAATGTTTATCAATGGTATCATCGTGCCACATGTTTACCATACTTAAATTTAGAAAAAATAAATCATGTTATGTTGGCCACCCGTTCCAGAGATCAGTTAGCGTGTGTTTGGTAGGCTCCGAATCTCCGGCACTGTGAGCTCCCAATGTTTCTCCATGGATTATATATTTTTGTATGGATAGTTGTTGCCTCTACGGTTAGTGATTGTATGCTTATATCTTTTTTCTATGATTAGTTGCTGCTTATATGAAGGTTTTAGTTGATGAGATTTCTAAGATTGTCCACGTAAACCGAAAAGGAGGGAGTATAGTTAAGTCTTTTTTTAGGGAAAAGCCATCATGGCGGTTTATATTTCATGTGAAAACAGCGATACATCGTTTGCCAATACATCTAGCAGAAAATCCGGAGGCACTGATTTCCACATAATAGTTCTAGAAACCTCAGAATTCCTAGCCAACAAATCTGCCGCCATATTAGCTTCCCTAGGACAATGAGAAAAAATTTATAGAAATAAAATTACGAGATAAGAAAGTTAAGTCTTTGTTTTACAATGATAAACCGGTAACCTTTACTTGTATCATAGGCGTGGCTACCTTTGACATTTTGTGTATTGAAGAATAAACAAAATTCTTTAACTCATGCTTGTCAAAGCAGTTACACCTTTAATGTAAAATATTAAGGTTAATTACATTATCTGAGGTCTGAATCTTTGTCTCTCTTCCTTCAAGATTATATACCTATGTGTTGACCTCCCAACAAACTTATGTCAAATATAACCCAATAAGATCTAATTTTTTTTGCATGCGGTTTTTATTTATTTTAGTTGCATTGCACAAGAAAATTTAAGAGAAGTGGAAGGTGGAGGGGCAGGCACCTGGTCCTCCACACTCTTCATTCTGGATATTGGTTCCGAGCCTCTCTAACGGTCTCAGAGTTCATGCTAAAACATTCCAGAATCTTTGACCGAGATGTTATGTATGAGTCTGTGCTAGCCTGAGTAGGCATCCTGAAAGAGATGATGTGCACAATGGGGAGATAATCATTCTGTTGCACCGCATACTGATGTAAAACTCAAGTATATCTAAATGAAATATATTTTTCTTGCGGGTGTTTTATGTTTTAGTTGCACTGCACAAAATTTTGAAGAGAAGAGAAGCCTCGTCCGTACCCAAGCCAACATAAAGGATCAAACTGTTAAGGACGTTAACGTTTTCCCATGACCCCTTTTTAGGTTTTTGCATATGTTTCATATGTTGGTTGCGAAGTGCCTAAATGTATTTTGCTATGAAATTTCAATTCTATATGCATGTCTGTTATGAGATGCAAAGCTTTGTGTAATTGAATGATGTATGGAATATGTCTGTTTATTTGAATGTTTACTTCCAGCTTGGAGTGTTTCATCTAACTATCATTGACTATCACTAGCAGGGGCGAGTACCTAAAAGGAAACATTTATGACCCTAACATACAAAATGAAGACGATTATTTGTACGAAACTGCATGTGGCAAGAAGGGTATTGTTGTCCATGATATTGGAGGCAGTTTCCACAACCATCTGCCCTGTGCGGAGCATTAGCGACGTAGCCTTTGAGGCGGAACTGAAAACTAGCGCCGGTTTGTGTATGAGAACCACCTTCAATGCTCGATTCTGTATACTAGTGAAACTAGATGATACCACATGCATTGCTTGGATAATATCTTGTAACACATTTCAATAAGATTTGGTTGTAAGAAACATTTAAATTAGCAGTATATGAAAAAAACTTAAAACATATATTATATATTGTATAGTTGAAAATATTTGTTGAATATAGGTAGTAAAATAATATAATGGATTTTTTTGCCATGCATGTTGGGTGGGCCTTTGATAAGGTTTGTTTGTTGTATTGTGCAAAACTATGTTGCAAAACTATGTGCATGGCTTATGTGTGTATGTTGAAATAAATAGAATTAGCAAGGATCAATTGGAGCATCTCCAATAGAAGATGCAAATTTGGAGATATAAAAACGAGATGTAAAAATATACATCTCCAAAAAATGCTTTTTACATCTCCAAAAAAGAGGCAACTTCAATAGATGATGCATATTGAAGATGTAAAAGAGCAACTCCAAGAGAAGATGCAAACTAGAGATGTAAAAGCTGTTGACGGCCGCACGGCTACTGTTCAGCCTCACAAATTGAAATAAAACGTCCGAAAATCAAAGAAAAAATTTCACATGTCCACAATATCAAATTATTACATATTCATCAAATCCCCAAGATCAAATGGAACAGAAATACAACATAGTTTTGCATAATACAACAAACAAAAAATGAAACTAGGCGTCTCTTTCGTCGTGCCATTTCCAATACCCTTCCATCAAATCCTTCCGAAGTTGATCGTGCGCATCAGAGTCTCTAATTTCATTGTACACCTTCATGAAATGTTTGATTTGCTCCTCTTTTCTCATTGGCATAACACTTATGCCCATCAAATGATAGAAGGTGTAATCCAAAATTTGTCCACACCCATTCTCAATGAGCATGTTATGCATGATCACGCAAGCGGTCATGGTATACCAAAGTGTGTTTTGATCCCAGAATCTAGATGGTCCTTGCACAATAGTAAATTGGGAATGCAAACTCCCAAAAGCCCTCTCAACATCTTTCCTAGCCACCGCTTGCGCATTGTGAAAGATGAGTTCTTTCTTACCTTGGGGTTTAGCAATTGGCTTGACAAAAGTACTCTACCTCAGGTAGATCCCATCCTCAAGATAGTACCCATAGTTGTATGTGCGGCCATTTGCTTTGAAGGTCACCGGTGGTGCTTCTCCATTTGCTAACTTGGCAAAAAGAGGTGATCGGTCGAGCACGTCGATGTCATTGCAAGATCCAGGCATCCCAAAGTATGAATGCCAAAACCATGTTTCTTGATCGGAAACGGCCTCAAGAATGATAGTGGCATCCTTCCCATGACCCTTGAACTATCCATGCCATGCTTTTGGGCATTTTTTCCATTTCCAATGCATGCAA